GCTTACTAGAGTGAAATTATTGTAAAAATCTATTTAATTCCCACACACTATTCTATAGTAAATAAGAATTCTGAATATGAAATGTATAAAATATGTAAGGTAAAAATGTCCATACACATCGTGTGTGATTACAGCTATGTAGTCCTACTTGCTGGCAACATTTCTAACAAAAACTGCATTAACACGTTAACAATGGAAATAAGTATAGACACTTGTACATTCTAGGTATACTTCTTATGGGTCCAAAGTCAAAAGCAGTGATCATCAACTGGGAATGATTCTCAGCCTCTGTTAGCCAGATCCTGCCTAGATTTTCTGAAATATGAAATGGACATCTAGACATTAATACTTAAGTAATACTATTGTTGGGCCGTGATATAAATTCTGTTTGAATTAATAATAGATTTTCCTATAAATTCAGTAGTCTAATGATCAGGCCCTTTGAGTACTGCCTTGTTTTTGAGTACATGCCCTTGATTTACTTTCAACCATATAGATGTTTATGTTCCAACAGAAATGGGATTAGAATCTCCAACAGTAGTCAGAAGGCAGACACAATTTAGAAAGAGAATCAATATCCATGTATATGGTTCAAGAGCTGTTTGGTTACACAGATACATGGACGAGTTTAAAGTGGGAGCTTCCAAAGTGTTTCAAAGTTTTCAAATTACATCCCAAAGGGAGCTGTGGAGATGTCAAAATGTCATCATCTAGGCTGTTTTTTTTTAAGACTGCTAAATTGAGCAGGAGTTTTCTATAACATAGCTAAATTAAGCATTATTTAACAAAAATAATTTCTCAACCACAGGACTGAGTCAGATGGGATGAGGGAAATGTCACTTTCTTCTAAAGAAGAGACACACTCCCTGTAACTGAATGCAGTGTGATAAGAATGACCATTAGTCCCAGGGTGGTTCCCTTCAGAAAAAAACAGCACAAATAAGTGAGCAATGCTTAACCTCTTATTCCTAATTTAATTCTTTAATTTGTCAGTAACATATGAGGAGTTTTGGCACATAGTAGGGGAATAGAGGTGCATGGGAAAGCTCTCTTTGCACTAAAATTGGAAGTAAAGTCATGAGTTTGGTGAAAATCATGGGAAAGAACTTGATTCAGCACTTTCCAAACTTTGTACAAAATTATTAACCCTGAACACTTTCTCTTAAGAACACCACTCATCTGTATCATCACACATTTTCTTAAAAATATTATGCAAATAAAATAATTTTGTGGACCAAGGTCATGCACCACCAGTAATTTTAGTTAATATAATTATACTTGTATCACCAGAATTACAGTAGTACTTACTTTTTTCCTTCCCTTTTCCTATTTCTCTTCTACTTTCATTATCTTTCTGTAGGGATTTCAAAATGTTCTTTCGTTTTTTTCTTCGTGTTTCAGTAAAACAACAGATTCTTTGGGAGGAGGGGGTGGGAATTGGATTTGTGTTGTGCCCAAAGGGCAGTCATACTTTCTCTGTACCATTCCATTTCCTTGGCCTACCTACCTACCTTGTCTTCACCTTCTGATTTTTTTTAAATTTAATTTAGACAAAAGTATTAGGTGATGATGCTAGTAGGAGACAGGTCCATAGGAAATCCTTCTAGACAGTGGAGAATGTGAAGATTTACAGTAAGACTTCAACTTGTCCGCCAGAACAAGTATAAGCCACTCAAAGAGCATAAAGGACTGTTATGAAAAACTAATTTATCACTCTAGTGTATGTTCACTAATGTATGTGTAAAATACCACCACCTACCATTAACTAAATATAATATTCTGTCACCCTCTAGTGGTGGGTCTACACCACCATTCTTCAGCTAGTAGTGGTGGAAGGTGCTCTCACTACGTGTCTAGTAGAAGAATTTATAGCATTTAGGAGTTACTAAGCTTCAGTGTTTGGTGGCCTGTGTGTATGGATTTGTAATTTTGATCTCTACTGCATATATCTGAATTTTATCCTAGATCTTCGTCCTATAAATTAATGATGTAAATTGTCTGTGTTGGTTTGGGGCCGATTAAGTAGAGGTTTGGGAGAGGTTTTTAAATTATTTGTGTGCTCTTCTCCTTGGATAAGTCAAGAGAAAATTGGCTGAAATCAAACCTGCAAAGTAGGGAACATAACTGTGAATTTGAAACCCATATTGGACAGTCAAATCCATTCTCTCTTAATTTCCATTTTTACTCATAATAAAAGTCCTTGTCTAAAACTGTCTGATGCTGCACTGCACCAGTGCAATGCCCATTTTAGTCTGTGAAAGCAGCAGTTGGACCCAAAATCATAGTGTGACCTATGTTTCATACATGCTTCTTGGTTTATTTCACAGCAAAGTGACATCACAAAGCCAAAATTCTTGATATTTCAAATTTTGTTAGCTTCAAATACTTACAAAATCTGTGTTTCTGACCCAGCAGCAGAAAAACCTGAAAGTAAGTATGCTGGAGAGTGGCATTTAATGGGTTCATTTATCAAGTTTCCACTAACTGATAATATTGATATGTTTTACACTGATATTGGACAATTTGGTTTCAGATCATGTAAGACTTCAAGCATCCTAAGTTACAGCAAAATACTTGGTCTTAAACTGAAGTGTTGTGCTCTTTACTGGATCAAGAGGTAGTGAAACATACAAAAAGCTGATTCATAGTTTGAGACAACTGAAACTGTCCCTTTGGATCACTTTGTAGAGCTTTCCTCAGAGATGTAGCAAGTGTTATTCATCTCTGACCAGAGACTGTGCAATTCCTCTTAACATGATTCAGCATTTAAAATATCAAATTATACTACCTTTATGTCTGTAATTTTATCAGTTTGGGCCATGCATCCATCATTTATGTGTGAATTCAGAATTGTCCAGTAATTAGATTGGTTCCCTGTATCTTTGTTAAAGGGGTGTATGGCAGCATCTTTGTAGTTACAAATGAAACAGAATTGTGTATCAGTATGTCAAAGGCTTTTTGCAGCACTCACCTCACCAGGAGGATTAGTTTAGCCAGTCTGCCCTTAGACACTTCAGGAGCAATTATCCCTGCTTGCACCACACAGAGCCTGCCAGCTACATCATGGAAAGACAAGCTGTTTCCATGAAGGGACTATGCTCCAAGTAAAACTTCCAGGTCTCTCAAGAAAGAAAACAGCCTGCACCTCCTCTAATGTGTAATAAGCATGGGACACCCAAGAGGAGTCTCCTGACCATGCTGCTAATTAGAAAACCTTCTGAATTGCTGAAATTTCAGCAAACCTGCCAGTCGTTGCTTCTACACTCACTAGAGTGTTCTAAAAATACAACTGGGAAGAGGGGGGGAAAATTCTTCCCATGCTTTCATGAACATTAATTCAGTGTTTAAAAAATAATAGCCAAATAATAGCAGATATTTCAGCTGCTTTCAGGCTTTTATGTCTGCATCTGAATCCTGCAGACATGCACATAATACATATTGCACACTTGTACACACACATGAGAGCAGAGCTAGGCAGATCCACAGAGACAGAGATTTGCATTAATCTTTTCATATTCATTTAATTTTCCTTCATTTACTGGAGAAAACAAAGGGGTTTTTGCTAATGGGACTGCAGTTACACATAAGGAAAAGGAAGTTATCATTCTCATCTTTATCATCACATATAATGAAGCAATTTCAGTCACGCTCATGTCAACGGTTTGTTGGTGAAGGTGCATCCTTCAGAAAGAATACAAATAGACTTCACCGACCCTGGAGTGCTGAGAGTAACATGAAACTTACTCTGACTTGTAATCTGAGCAAACATGACACGGAGATCACAGAATAAGGGCGTGTATTCGTCTTTCAGCCTTGTTTTGACAAAGTGACTTTCTCCAGAGGGACATTTCTGCCATTTTTTTCCAGCATGTTTCACTTTTCACTGAGTATTAATCCCAGTATGACTTAACTTCAAATTATGATTCCCACCTATAAGCATATGTGAGTTAATTCTTTTTTTTTAATCATTTATTTGAGCACACAGTTAGCACTCTGGATATCTAAGAAAATAAATATATGAAAAACAATTGAGCAAATTGAGTTTAATCAAATGTAGCAAGTAATAAATATTAGAACAAAAAATATTATTAAAATTCTTATTCATTAATGGAAACCTTTTATTATTAGTAACTCTAAGAAATCGGGCCAGACCATAATATTTCTGAAAACTGCAGTTTCTCAAATTCTATGCAGTATTCTTCTAGCTTTAGACTAAAGATAACTTCCCTGTATCTAATGCAGACTAACATTTATATAGCCATAAGTTTTAAACAGAATTTTCAGAGCCTTATGAATTAGATTAATAAAGTATGTTTTGCTAAAAGAGTATTCCTATTTCTCCTACTGTGTGGCCTATGTAATATATTTGATGGCATGGATAGCATTCCAACAGAAAATATTTCAAAATAAAGGCATTGGGCACAGCAACTAGCGTGTTTGTTCCATGCAGCAGACAGCTGAGGATGGGGTTTAGCCTCTTCATCATGTTAACTGATAAATAATTATTAGCAATATCAATATCTATGGTAAAAGACCTTGAAAATATTTTCCATGGTTTTCAGATGGGAAAACAAGACATGTCAAAAATCAGCACAGAGTTTTGCTGTAACTCACCCTCCTAATTCTCCTTTCAACTAGGCCATGAAATCTGAGGACAATAATAGTGGCTGCTTATGTGAAAAAATGTGTCAGGATTGGTTTTCTTGGTTGTGTAAGATATTAGATCAGTGATGGCAGTTCCAAGTTTGGAAAAAGAAAATGCCAGGCTAAACCAGGAAACAAAGGACCTAAATTACTTTTTTATGATGTTGAAGGCAAAAGTGTAAGGTGAAAAGGATTAATTATTTTTATAGAGTAATAACCAAACTCCATTTCAAGGAAAATTTGATGGTCCAGATAATTGTTTGCCTATGGTGTGGCTCTTAAACAGGGACTTCAGGGGTAGAACAGCCATATTTGGTAGCTTCTAAGTATTTTCTGATTTTTGTTTTCCCCAACAGAGCTACAGCGAACCTGTTGATGTCAAAGCCTCCCCACAACCTCAGATGATGAATTCAAAGCAGTCAGTGTTTCATGGGCCTGCCCAGGCTCACTCTGCACTGTACCTCAGCTCCCACTACCACCAACAACCAGGAATGAATCCTCACATCACTGCCATGCATGCCAATATCCCCAGGAACATAGCGCCCAAGCCCAACAACCAAATGCCAGTGACTGTTTCCATAGCAAACATGGCTGTGTCCCCACCGCCACCTCTTCAGATCAGCCCCCCTCTGCACCAGCATCTCAACATCCAGCAGCACCAGCCCATCCCAATGCAGCAGTCCATGGGAAACCAGCTACCAATGCAGGTCCAGCCTGCTCTACACTCACCTACAATGCAGCAAGTAAGTTGGAGCTTTTCAGTTCTCTGGGGAACTGTGTTATTTTTGGGGAGGGTGTAGCGGGGGGAGTCATCCAGAAGCTGGCATAGTGAGAGAGATTTAGATTGGCTTTAATTTTGCAGGTTCCAAGACCATGGTAGTATGGGCTTAGTCTTTCAAAGGCAAGAGCAAATTAATGAGTCTAACTAGATGATGGAAAACTGCAGTAGAAGTGTTTGTGCCAGCAATAATGTCCATCATTGTCCATAGATCCATCTGCAAATCTTTGACTACCCTGAAACAGTGAAATGCAAAACTTTCAGGAGTCACACTTCACAAACAAAAGGCAGGCATGTCTAGAAAAATACACGATTGCAGCTTATGCTGTTATTCTTGTGCTGACTGTGATGTGGAACTGTCAGAGGAAACAAAGCAGCCCAGGTTGTGTTGAACATGCTAGATTAAGAGAACACGAGTGTGTTACATTATGCCACATTCTTAACTTCATTTTCCTTCTTTTTACTGGAAATAAATGGGCTGTGTCCATCATCCCAACATGGTGGGTTTTTGTTTGTTTTTTTTTCTGACTCTGAATGTTTTAGATAGTTGATTCTCAATATATTTCCTAAAAGTTCTGAGTTAATGCAGACCATCCATGGTATTGTGCTTCCAGGCTTACAGAGGAATATAAAGAGAACATATAAACTGTTGATTTCATGACAGAAAATTTCTTTTGGTATTGTATGAAATCTGACTATCAATAATAATATCTTGCTTTGCAAAGTGGAATTAAAATGAAAAATTAGTGAATGGAATTGCAAGAATCTACAAAATTTTTCTACACAAAACTTGTCAGTCCTGGCTGATAATACATAGTCATGAACTTGCTTCATGTTTTAAATTTCTCCTTTAAATTCACCTTTGCTAACAAGGCATTTGCATCTACTTTCCAAGCCAGAAATGTTTCATCTCAAGATTGATCTTTACAGTTGGGAATACTTGAACACAAACCATAGCTTCTTGCTGGGAGAACAATTTAACAGGGAAAGAAATTTTCCAAAGAAGAAAAAAACCCCAAAAGAGTTGAAAACAAACTAGACTGATAAACTTATTTGTTCAGAAGATAAATCAAGGAATGCTCAGGATGATTTGGATTTATTCAGAGACTTTGATCTTAGTCTCAGGAGTGATTTGGAATAATCAGGAAGGAAAACTTGTAAAATATTCACATCTTTTTCCTAGTCCAGTTAATTTTTCACTATCAGAGAAAACAGACTCAACAGACTTATGACCACACATATGTGGAGTCATGTACTCATGGAGGTTTTCCTGCAGTTAGTGTGATTATTACAGGGGAGCCGTGCTCAAGTCTCAGAGAAACTCAGGACTTGACCCCAAGGCTGGGCAGCTGGAATTAACTAGAGGAAGTCCTAGGCAGGTGAGCCAGGAGAGTCTGTCTGGAGATCCTAAGCCTGGAGGAATCCTGGGTGAATCTGAAGGCTCAGAGCAGTGAGAGACAAAGCAATACTCTAGTTCATTTACCAAACATGAAAAATTATGTCTGTGACAACAATCTGTTGAGATCCTATAGCTATATTTCAAAGACTTTTTATTGCACAGTGATTCATTCTTCCAAGTTCAGATTGTTTGCCAAGTTCGGTGTCACTTATATATTACCTGTCCAATGCAGAACTCCTTATGTCTTTTCCAGAATTTTTAGGCATAATTTACTGAATAGATTTGAAAATCTGTCTCTATTTAGTGAATTAATAGTACAGCTTGTGCTAGCAAAAGGTGTAATGCAGATGTTAGATACTTTCATATTTATACATAAAATATAATTTTTCTATGAATAACACTTAGGCATTGCTCTAAACTCTCTACCAAAGAAAAGGTAATGCAGTATGAATCCGCTAAAGTTTTATTTTGCCAAGTTGCAAGCTTGTAGCATAAGGTGTGTGCATCCACGCTTTGGAAGTACGTTCAGTCATCTGTGAGATATGTGGCACGCAGTTGACTTGTTTCTAGCTCAAGAAAAAATACAGGACACTTGGTTGTAGAAAACAGGTCTCTAGAAGTCAGAATGTAGACCTTTATCATGATGAGGTTTTTTTAACTAAAGACAATTGCAGTTAAGTAAAAATGCTGTACCTCTGTGTTCCTGTTAAACTCACAAAATTATATGTTAAATGCTTTTTACCAACTCATATTCCTTAGTCAGAAAGGCTGATGCTTTTAATGAAGATACCGTGGTGAGATATTTGTTTCACTCAAGGTGCTTGTTACTTGTTGAAATGCTGCATTGCCAATCTGCATGTGTCTTTATTCACTCTGTAATATCTACAAGCTGATTTATATTTCTTGCACCCTGCTTTTGCTTTCCAGTGATGCAGCTTTTGAGTGTAATGCAGCTGGAAAATCTATGTCATTTCACTTTGGAATATTTGTTTGGGGTTTTTTTTAGCATACAACAGCTTATAGAGCTTGTGAACTGAATTTAAATATAGCAAAATGTATATTACATTTTAGGGCTAGAGGTGTACTAACAACACCATGATTTGCCATGACAGAACACAACAATGGTATTCTGCTCAATTTCTTAGGTATGACCCTTTAGTCAAGAAATGATAGAAAACACAACACCAGGATGTCATACTGTGTTAGAATATATAAGACAGGTTGGTCACCAGGAAGCAAATAACAAAAAGTCAAGAGACTACAACCTGAAAGTAAAGGCCTCTTTCTGACTCAGTTGTCAAAGGACTTTGCTCTCCCTTCTGGTTGAAATAGAGCAAACACTCTGGTGATCACAGAGCTTGTTAAATAGGAAAAGATCTACTGGGAGAAAAATGGAGCAGCTCAGAGCCAACAGCAGTAAGGAGAAAAAGGAGGCACCACACTCTGTCTGACCTGTGGTGAGGAGGGAAGGGGAGGTCTGGATGTGATGTTCAGTCCCAAACAACACTGTGTAGAGCACTCTCCTGCATAAAAAGACAGCCAAGAAGAATGGGAAATATGAATTCTGATAAAGCAGAGCAATAGCTGCCTTTAAGCCAACTTTTTTTCACTTCCTCTTCCCTCAAGTTGTTTTATTTCCTCCATGCTTACATATGGCCACCATAAGCCTTTCCAAAGACTCATGAAAGCAGCAAGAACAGAAACCAGTTAACATACCACTCCCAAGGGAGTCACTTGCAACAGGAGTCATTTTCCTCTTTGGAAGCCTTAGCACTACTCATGCTAAATTGACTAATACACTACAAGAAAAAAAAGGCAAATTTTGTCATGTCACGCTGCAACATGGAGCTTAATAGGCAAGAGAAGAATAAGTCTGCCAACAGCTTCCTAGCAGTCCTAGCAGTCTTCTACTGCAGGTGTTGGAGTGCTCACCTAGCTGGGCACCTTCATTGTAGACTGTGCTGGAGGCATGTTGGAAGTAGAAATCATCAATTGTGGGCTCTCTTTTTCCTTTTTTTTTCCCCTTTTTTTTCCAACCATCCCTCTTTGAAATAGTTCATGGCTCACTAGTGTGGCACTCAACAGTAGCAGGCTCTGCGAATCCTTGCTCTTAACAGATCCCCTGCTTGAACTCTGGCTCTGTGACATTTGGTCAGTCATTTTCTCCAAGAAAAGGAGGACAGTTTCATATCAAAGGCCATCTTGTAGTATGTCTGAAGGACTGCCAACTCCAAGAAAAAACCACACAGAGATCCAGATTTCAGTCTTGGCAGGCAGGAACACAGTTCTCCAAAAACCATTGTGCGTGAAATTCACAAACTCTTCTATGCAAACTTTGAGGGGGGACTGATAAGAAGTGCTGACCTGGGGAGAGAGTTCTGTTCCTACTGCTTCCAGGACAATGAGCTGATCTTCATCAGCTCTACAGGGAACAGCGTGTCCTTCTCCATATCCAGCACTCCTTGCCTGCACGTGTACGCCTGCCAAATCAAGAGTGACTGCCAGCTGGACAAGGGCAGTCTCCTTTGAGGATACACAAAAACTACAGAACATCAAGAAAATCAGAAGTATTGGTAGCCAAAAATCCCCAGCGACTGCACAGTTTCTGTTATTTTTTAAATCAATTAAATTTGTGGAGTATGCAGCTGATACAATGCATCCAAATTGTTCTGAAATGCAATGTAAAATTTTGATATTAGCATTTTGGTCATAAGCCTAACATTAGTAATTATTTTAAAATTTATTTTAAATAATTTATTTTGAGTTATCTAAATTGTAACTTCTTGGAAGTAGATAATTTTGTCTTTTTTCTCTTCTGCTCCAACAGTTAATGAATAAATTTTTTAAAGGGTCACTACTGTAGACTTTTGGGGTGCTTGTTTACAGTCATAATCCTCTAAACTATTAGAAAAATGACCATTAGTTCTATTATCATACTTAGGTTTAAATTCGATCCTGATTTTTATTTTCTTTAGCTTCTAAGTCTGAAATTCATTATATTTTTCTTAAATATCATTAACAGGAGACATGTTAAAGTTTTACTTTTCAAACTCAAAATCCACTCTGCCATAGTTTTTCTTTTATCCACCACTGACACATAGGTAGACTCACAGTAGATTTGAAGAATGTGATTTTTTCTTTCATTAAATGCTCATATGAGCGTCTTATCATTGTATAATTTTTTAACTGATACAGGGTTGTTTCTCTCCAGTCTATTTCTTAGGTTTGACATGATGTTTAATTTTTACTCAGTTGGCCTTGGTTTATTAACCCTTGTTATTCAAATCAGCACAATTTCTCCAAAGTTCAGGCTGAAACAGCAGCTGAAGCTGCAGCCTGTTTCCACTTGCAATGTCATTCTTTCTCTACTCACACGAACATTTGTGCCTCTTTCTGAACATTCCCCTCTATTCAGCCTGTTCGCTGTGCTCTGTGGTGTGAAGAGTGATGAGACTGAGGATTCACTCCCTCCTTAATACACCCAGATCTTGTTAAGGAACCCTTTTAAGTAGCCCTACTGGAATCATCACCTTCCCTGCTCAAAATCCTTCACCCAAGCATTGCATGGGATGGTGAGTCCCATGTCCACCTCTGTCCCATTTCAGTTCACAAGTAGAGGAAGCAAAACTAGTTTCTTAACGTCTAGTAACCATGGCTGCAAGTACATATGCATTAAAAAAGGACCAGAAGATTAATGTATGTCACTTTTTTTTTTTTAATAATAATAATAATAACTCGTTTCAGTCTACTTTTAGGTATTTCTTTTCCTTTAGAAAATAAATGTATACAGCAAAATGATTGCATAGCTTGCCAAAAATAATAACCTCATTTTCTCTGGTATATATTTTATATACCAGCAAATTCAGGAACCTGCTGTATTTGTCCAGATTTCTTCTTCTTTTTTGTTAAGCTTTGTCTTCGAATGAGGTCAAGAGAAAAAAAAATCATTAATATCTGTCAACTCCCTTTATAACCTTAAGGAAAAATCTTTGTATGATATCACACAGACAGATTTTCAATTTCCTTGTGTAATAAACAGATGCTTTAGGATTTGGATGTAATTTAAAGGTTTAAAATATCACATTGAGATTGATGAATAAATCAGTTGTGAAGACAAAAACATTGATGCCTGTTGAAAATACCTCTCCAGACAGGCAGGAAATGAAATTAGTTCCTAGTAAAGTGTGGAGATGAGGATCACTCTTTAGTTCTGCTGCAGGCTTTTTAGGACTTGCTACAGTGGCACAACGAAACTGCTAGGGCTACAGAAATCTAATTAAAGAGCAAATGTCCCTCCTGACATCGAATTAATCTTTATCAAGTTCCCTATTTTTATTTCAATCTGGGACAAGAAAATGAAATTTAAAATTCTAGGCATGTTGCAAAACAGTTGGTGATTTTCTCTTGAGCATTACAATGCAAAAACATTCAGCATTGTTTAATTAGACCTCGAAGCACTTATTTTCTGAGCACTTTTTATTTCATCATTGTTTGTAAAGGGCTTACATGAGTAATACCCACATATTTACCACAAGTCTGGTACAAGACTGTTTCTCTCTGTTGTACAAATCTATATTTTCAGAGCTTTTCCCGTTGATGAAAAGGCTGAAGTAATTATTGTTTGCATCTTAAACAGTACCATACTTTATCAGTCCTTCATACTGAATTGAGGTTGTTTAAATGACTTTGCTTTAACAAGCATGCTTTCCATCACAGTGCAGGTGTTCTGGTTCTGCTAGCCCTCAATCCCCCACAGGGACCACTGAGACCCTTCTGGGACTGGAGCCTGGCTCAGATACCCCTGCACCACGTTAGCACTTATCACCTGAGTGTGCCCCAAGAAACAGCCCCCAGTCCCAGGCAGCCATAAACTAAATAGACTTGCCAGGTACGAGATGCAAGTGTTGTTATGCCTTATTTTGCAGGTAGAACAATTAAATTTGGCTCTGCAGCCCCAACCTTAACATGAGAGGTACCAATTCAGTCCAAACACATGTGCACACATGCTTTGCTGGAAGACAGCCAAAGCAATTTGGCTGTGGTCACACAGAAAGCCTGAAAAAAATATGAGAATGCATCCGAACCCAGTTTCTGAGTTAAAACACAGGACCGTTCTCTGCCATCTAAGCTATTTATTTATCCTAATTCCAGAAGAAATGGAATGGATGGTGGTCTCTTCCTCAGATTTGGAGGAACTATCTCCTTCCTGAATGAGTGTTGTCCAGAGTTTGTGGATGCTTCTTCTCCCTGGAAGTGTTCAAGGCCAGGTTGGATGGACCTATGAGCAACCTGGTTTAGTGGAAGGTGTCCCTGCCCTCAGCAGGGGGCTGGAACAAGATGATCTTTAAGGCCCCTTCCAACCCAAACCATTCGATGATTTTATGAGTACTTGAGTCTCTGTGCCTGCTCACTTGCATGCTTTGCTACTGTTTACTGTCCCTATATAGTGTTTTTCTTGTATATATGCTAGATCAGGGCATTTGCTACCAAAGGTAAATCTAAGTGCCTTGAGGGTAGGATGTTTTTCTGTGGTTGTTTTCCTCTTACAGCTAAATTAGAAAGGCCTTATGGTTGATGTTTTGTATGGAAATTATGACAATGGTATGCAAACCCAAATTTTCTGCCTTCTAATTACACAAAACTCCAATTAAAATCCTTGGGAAATCTGCTCAGTTACTGCTTCCTTTGGATCTGTTGTAGGCATGGGGGCTGTCTCTGCAGCTTGTTGCATAGGTTCAGAGCTTGGTGAAAAGGCAGCATACAGAGCATGGGGATTACAGTCCCCATGGGTGTAAAACCCACCATGGGAAGGCTTTATTTAATCTCATTAGCAGGGCATTATATAAATAACATGGCAACTAGATGCAGAATTCAACTGTGAACTTGCTCACTACTAAAAGTCTGTTTCTTTGAGTCAACAGGGACAAAGTGAGGTTTCCAAGAGTGTTTAAGGTACTGAAGTGTTACTCAGCGTATTCTCCATATGGAAAAGATTAAGGAATAAAGTTGCAGTTATTTATGGTCTAGACTAAAGCCCATGATCAGGATGAGTGGAGTGAGGTGGCAGTGCACATTAGAGATGGGGCAAAATACCTGCAGGACCTCAGGGAATAGCCAAGGAGGAGAGATGAGAAGAAGGAAGTAATGTTTCATTTGAAAGAAGGTAATTTCTGTGGATGAAGGGGGCCAAGTGAAAGCTGAGAATATTCATTTTATCTTGACAAAAGGTAGTGTGGCTGCCTTCTTAAACCTGAAGAAAAAAATCTGTCCACAAAATTCCTGTCCTAATGAAGGCTGTGAAAGAAAAGCAATCACACACAATACACTAACACTAACTTACCTAAAAGCTGTGAAAGTTAATTCTATCTATTTTGTATGTAGGCTTTGGCTGGAAGTGAGTTTCCAAACCAGGAATCTTGGTGCAAGTTCCTTTTCTGATTTAGTAGCTATGCATTCAGTTAACTTGATTGGGAATTGTATGCCCTTGCCCCAGGAAGGTGTTTGGTCCGGTTTTTTTCAGCAGACATCGATTGCTTTCATACAACATTCCCATGATTTTACTCAGTGTAGCTTTTCCTACTTTACAGGAACACGATGTACAGGGTGCACTAGCCTTGAAATTTCTATTGTTCTCCTGGGTTTGAAACACAATATTTAAACATCAGAATATATCAAAAGAGCTAAAAATTATTATGACTTTCCATATGACAGAAAATTCAGGGAGCAGGTTAGATGTCTCTTTGTAACTTCCACTTTTTTTTTCTCGTCTCCTTGGTTTCAAAAGCAAGTTATTCTGTGCTACTTTCACTACATTAGTCCAACAACTGTTAAAAAGCTTTGGTTGAATTTCCGTTTAGTTGAGAGAGAAGTGCAAATAAAAGAAGCAGCAGATGGCCCCTTTGTGACTGAATGAAGAAAAAGGGTTTTGAGAACAATACGTGAATAGGTGTAGTCTAATAAAACAGTCAGCCACCTGCTGCCTACATCCTTCAAAAAGATTCTGTTGCATATTCTGGGAATTAGTGACTAGTGTGTATGCTTACATTTAATCTAAATGGAAGCTCTAAGGAGCAAACAGACCTTTTTGTCCCAGTGCTGATTGAGTTGTTCTCTTGGTTTTGAATTGTTTCTGCTCTGTCTCCTTTAGTTCCATCTCTGTGTAACAGTGAACAACGCTTTGGCAGTGTTTCATTTCTCAAACCAAAGAAAGATTTTAAAATTTAGAAAGCACCTACCTAATGCTTTCTAAATGCTTTAGAAAGCATTTTTGCCTATTTTAGGTTTTATAAACAAAATCACACCTGGAAAAGAAGTATTCTCTACCATTTCACAGTACACTCTGCATTTTTACTTTTTATAATGCACCCAACCTGTTACCTTCTTTCCATACTTTGTAATGTACTTGTTTTCTCCTCTAGGGATTTACTCTTCAGCCTGATTATCAGAATATCATCAATCCAACATCAACAGCTGCACAAGTTGTTACCCAAGCAATGGAGTATGTTCGTTCAGGGTGCAGAAATCCTCCAGCACAGACTGTGGACTGGAATAATGACTACTGCAGTAATGGGTAAGCAGCCAGTGAATGCCACCTTGTGTTGAGCAACATTCATGACATACGTATATGATAGAGAATTTGGGAACAGCATTTTTGCCCGTTTCCCTACAATGTTTCTGAAGTGTATCTGTGACGGCCATATATTTATTCAGCAGTTAATCTGCTGTGGGAGAGCAAGTGCTCAACACATACATTTATTAGACACTGTTGTCACCTTATCACAGCACATACACTTTCTAGGTCTCAAAGAACTTATATTCCATATAAGATCAGAACTGAAATCTTAAGGAGAAGGAGTAAGAAAGAAGTTTTAAGATCACTATGTCTCAATGAGAGGCAGATGACGTGAACTATTTTTTAGTCTGGGTCATGACAATAACTAACTTGGGTCATGAAAAACCACATCAGTGAGAAGCAGGGCTGATACAGGGAAGAGAATGGCATGAAGAACACATGGTTGTAACCAGAAACAAAACACCATACCTGTAGGAGCCCTGTGTCCTCAGCATAAGGTTAGTAACCCCTTTGAACCTTCAACTTCTGGCAGCATGGTTTTGTGGAGCCATGTTACTGTGCCAGGAACTGCCTGGAAACATTTAACACTGAACAGAAGGTATCCTTTGAGTTTTAAATTATAGATGTTGTGCTTTTGAACATGCCCACCAGCCTGACCTCCCCTTGACTTAGCCTGAATCCCCAAGGCAATGGCAGATAAAAGCTCTTGGTTGCTCCCAAAGTGCCAAATCTAACCCAGACAAATGAACAAAAAGCAGAACTAAAGACCAATTTCATCCATTACATTTACTTAAACTGAGAATTTCACTTGCCTTATTGTTTTAATTGCTTCTAGAACTCAAACTAGAACTGAATAAAAATCTTATTCTGGCTACTAGTTGGGAATAACACCTTTGCTACAACCTGCTGACACTAGGCAGACTTTAGTCTGAACAGCAACATCACTCTTTCCTATACCTATCACTGCTGCCCCATGATTTGCCCACTTGCTCAGCAGAACAGTTTTGCTTCTGTGCTCTACCACCATGTCTTAACATGTGCTGCAGGCCCATTCTGTGTAGAGAAGCCCTTGTAAATCCATGTGCACGACCTTAAACTATCTTTGCTAAGCTTCTGCTGTCCCCTTGCAAGTGCTTACCTGAAGCTGCCAGCCCAACACATTTTGACTATATCTGTACTAGTAGATCAAATATGCCAGGGGCTTAGTAAGTGGCTGACACCCATGTTCATGCAGCAAAGCTCTCCTGGCTCTAAGGAAAGTGGCTGCCAGCCCACTAGTGCAGGTTATCCCAAACCAGTGCTTAAACCCATGTCCCAGTCCTATGCAGTTTTAAAGCTAGATGTGGTCTCCAGGTTGCTATATGTCACTATGATTTTTTCTTATTATTACCATAGCAATGCAGCTGTACTTCAGTGATATGCTTGGAATTAATGACATGCGGTGGGATTGTGGGGCTGATTTTTTTTTTTTTTGAAGAATAGAACAAAAAATTTTTCAAATATTAAAAAAAAAAATCACATTTGTTCTTTTTCTCTTTGAACAGGGGCATGCAGAGGGACAAAGCACTCTACCTTACCTGAAAATCTGAAACACCTCTCCTTTCCTTTCACTGAGGAATGCAGGGAAGTCTTTTCATCATGGATTGCTTTATGCAGTCAAGGCAGTTCTGCATTTTATTAGAAAATACAAGTTGCTAAGCACTTAGGACTATTTGAGCTTGTGGGTCACCCACTCTGGAAAAAATAGTCTTGCTTCTTTCCTTTTCTTTTTTTTTCTCCCCATTTTTTCTCTTTCTTTCTCCTTTCCACCCCTTCCCTGAGATCCTTTAACGGACATTGCTTTTCTTCTTCCCTGAAGGAAACTTGGACCATTCAGATTTTATGTTGGTTTTTGCTGTGAAGTGCTGCGGTAGTAACTGCCTTAGCAACTGTAGATGTCTCGGATAAAAGTCCTGGATTTTCCATTGGTTTTTCATAATGGGTGTTTATATGAAACTACTAAAGACTTTTTAAATGGCTTGATGTAGCAGTCATAGCAAGTTTGTAAATAGCATCTATGTTACACTCTCCTAGAGTATAAAATGTGAATGTTTTTGTAGCTAATTGTAATTGAAACTGGCTCATTCCAGTTTATTGATTTCACAATAAGGGTAAAATTGGCAAACATTCATATTTTTACTTCATTTTTAAACAACTGACTGATAGTCTATATTTTCAAAGTATTTGGAGAAAAAAAGTAAAGTAGTCCCAAATTATATTAATTAAAAATATTGGCTTCATCTCATGAAATAAATACAAAAAACTTAGGAGAAAAAACTAATGTTGATAAAGAGCAAACACATTTATTTTGTACTGCCTAAAAAATGCTTTTTTTTTAAAGAAAATCACTTTATGTGTACTGGTTAGTAAACGTCATTTAAGTCCTTTTATGTATAAAACTGCCAAATGCTTACCTGATATTTTATTAGATGCAGAAACAGATTGGAGACAGCTAAATTATAACCTCTACATATGGCTATGTATTATTGTTTCTTCATACTGTGTCTGTATTTAATCTTTTTTATGGAACCTGTTGCGCCTATTTATGAAATAATAAATATAGGTGTTTGTAAGTAAATTTGTTAGCATTTTAAAGAGGTTTCTTTGACGCTTTAACTTTTGCTGGCACAAATTGTTCACAATTGATGTGAATACTTTATTTAGTTTTTACAGTGACAAATATAACAACAAACCTGCTTTAATGGCAGAAAATGAAGGTAACCAAGAACTATTTCTCTATTTCTTTGGTTGTTATGGAAAAGAAAAAAAAAGGTATTTTAAGTAATTCCCTTTTTAAAGCATTGTAGCAGGAAGTTGCCCAAAACTAAGACTTGAACCAACAAAACTAACTGAATAAAACTGCATAACGCTGCTTCTTGAAACTTCACCATGTTTTGTTAATTTGTCAAGTGGAATAAACATATTACCAAAAGAAATATTACCAAATATGCTTCAGCCATTTTATTATATATGCAAAAGTCCTACAGAATTTGAGAGAGTATATCAGAAATAAATCCTAAAATTAAAGGTAAGTTCAACAGCCACAGGGAAAGGGATAAAATTATCCAAAAGAAGGTATTTTATCAATGTTTGGGATCAGGGATAGCTCTGAAAATACATTTCTGGATGATTTTGTCCCAGATGCCCATCCCATTCATAGACAGTACCACTGATTTGTATTTTCTGCGTGAAATAAAGGAAGCAATTCATATAGAATACACATTTGGCAATGCCATTGGTTTTTCTTTATAAAACAAAACAGAAACAAAGGCATGCTTGCTTCTGAATGATTTCAGGCAATGTAGAATTGGAATCACTTGGCATGTAATAACTAATAAATAATGCAGATCAGATGTGATTACTCAAATGACTGTAGCTGAGAGCTCTAATTTTCCTGTCTTGAAACTGTATGAGAACTCGTGATTAAATTCACAGTTTATTGTTTGTCTGTTTAGTACTTTAGAAATATACCAGCACTACTAATTACCCAATGTCTTCTATTTATTATATTATAGTAAACTACATTTTCCACTCATATTAATTCTAAAGAGAAAAGATAATTACTGAGAATGAGAAAAATCAACTTTGATTTTGACAGGCAGTTTTCCTTTTTCTTTTCTGGGAAAGAACTGTGTTATCTTCATTTCTTTTAGAGCAGGTGCGCAGTCACATAAAGTTGTTAATTTCGGTATCCAAGCAGAGTTCGAAATACAAGAAAACTTTAATGTAAATAAAAAAATACATCATGAATAAAATACTTATTCTGTATGAACTTCTGGCTAGTTGGTGTCTCTCAGTCTATAAGCAGGGGAACCTGTGGTGTGATTGCTGTGCTGCACTTTACCCATCCAGTGTTCTGAGTGTGGTTCTGTGTCTGAGTTAGGCTCAAATGAGACAACTGTGCTGGAAGAACAACAGTTTTTGGCCATGGGTATATTGAAACCATTTTTTTCCAAAAGAAAGACCCAACTTCAATCCATAAATGTCAATTCTTCATGTCTGACCTCAAGAAAAAGAAATGGTTGCCAGCCATGTGCAGTCTGCTGTTTGGTTTTGGGTGTGTATTGACAGATATAAATTGCCAATAAATGCTTGGCATCCTTCTGCAAGCAGGTGAAACTCCACTGGAGCTGGTGAAGATGTGCCCCATCCTTCACTTCAGCACTGTGCCTTAGGCACCATGGTAACACAGACACCCCAGTCACTGGTTGTAAGTTGCCATCTGTCCTAACCACAATAATGAGAAAGCACACAGGAACTAAACAACCTGCACATGGAAGCAACACAACAACAGCAAGCAAATACGATAAAAACATCTGTCAGAGTGATAGAAATCAAAGGAAATGGTCTGCTATTCATTGAAAATAATGTATTTTTAAATTACTTTTAAAACATGGTGGACAAAATGCAAAGTTGGCAACATATGCACTCTGCAGGTTGTAAATCCCATCTGCTTGCACAAGGTAAGCAGAGGTTTTAAAAAGGAAAAGCTTTTTGATTTTACTGCTGCTCTCAGTGTGCCATGTTCTGGTGACAGGAGATATCCTGGTCTCTCTATCCCCAGACTCACATGTGTTCAAGCAGAAATCTCATCCAGCTGCTGCCTCTGACCAAAGAAGCCAAATTCCAATTCAAATGGGCCTGCCATAGGATTTTCCCCTCACACTCATCCACAGGCAGTAAGCAAGTAATGTATTCATAGAGGGCCCCAGCCATTCACAGGGAAATGTAATATATTCATGCCCACTTCTCCCTCTCTCACCAAATACCAGCTCCTGATTCCAGTGGTGTCTCTGCCAAATATTCCCTGTGAGGCTCCTCTGTAAACAGGAAACCCAACAAAAAAAAGAACTCATTACTGGAAGGTAAAACACGCTCTTACCACCTTCCTTTGCCTTTTGAGACATCATTCCACCCTGAACTATCATCTCTCAGTCTGTGTCTACCTGTTTCTTCCCCAATCCTGTAAACATGGCAGATCCACAGAGATATCTTTCTGTGCTCTGGGAAAATGGAGTAGGTAAAAATCCGTATTTTGCACACACTGTGAGAAGTAGGTAAAGAGTTATTATGTGGCCCATACTCCCCTGGACTCCCATGGATAGGGACGTATATAGGCAGATATAGTTAAGATAGAGGTATAGATATAGCCAAAAAGACTAGAGAGATATACAGACAGATAAACCATCATTATCATTAATTATTTTTTGTGGTGTTTTCAAGCCCTTTTGCATTGAAATAAAATATTATTTTGTGGGTATAGCAGTGTGCTGGCAGTAATGCAGGAGGTGCTGAGCTCCTTGGAGAAGAGAAGGTGCTTCATGTCAGGTCTCACAGACACCATTTGCTTTCCTTTGCAAACCCATGTATTTTATTATTACCCAGCAGCACATTAAATCACATCTCAAATGTAGCTCTTACTTCACCAACAAGAGGACAAGTGAGAACAATGACTTGTAACATTTCAGAGTCTGTCACAGTTACTGCCTAATTAGAGAAACCCACTAGCAAATGTGCATCTGCATGGATCCTGTGACTGTCATCATTTCACATTCTATTAAGGACTTGCTGTGATAGACACTTTACAAAGAAATTTTGTTCGGGCTAATACCAAGCTGGCAATCATGTAATCGGCCCGAAAATAAAATGAGAGAGGAGGGGAAAAAAGAGATGGGAAGAGGAAAAGAAAATGAAGCCTACCTATTTGGAAAACAATCTGTGTGCAAAATTCCACAGTATACTGCAGAGAAGATCCTTACCCTCTGACAATTGTGTGTTTACAACGAGTCTGAGTATAATTGCTCTGATGGGCTGTCAAGGAAAAGATTAATTTGGCAAAGATTAGTATTGACTTGCTGTTTATTAAGGCTTTTAAACAGCTGTATCTGGCAACATTCCTATAAGTGCTTGTCATGTCTGAAAATCAGGCTCACACCCTGGTGCTTGCCAGCTGTTGCTAAACAATCTTACCACTTAGAGTATCTTTCTCCAGGCCAAACAGCAAGAGCAAAGTATTGCCAAATCAGTCTCTTTCATCCTGTCACTTTTCAGGGGATCTGAGAGCTCAGCTATCAGTTGATAGCTCATAGCAGCTGCCAGGAGAAGCAGGGTAGTTAGAGAAGTGTTACGCCATGCCTAGGGGAGGGGTGCTGCTCTTAGTCACCTCACCCACATGGAAAAGCACAGCTTGCAACTGGTGTTATGCAAAGGGGCTTTAAACCCCTTAAAGTCTGAGATCCAAATTGGGTAGGAGGCAGAACTCCAGACCACACAGTTCCTCCCGTCGGGCTCTGATGGATAAAGCCAACAGGATGGGAGGGTACAGTAGCCACCATTAATCTTTATAAAATGAACCAACATTTTCTTATATTACTTTTTACCCACTGCTGATAAACAAAAGTCATAAAGCCTTGCACACAGAATACCCCGGGTCAGTGGAAACCTGTAAAAGGAAAGATGTCAGCTGTTATTTTTGTTACATTACTTAAAATATTTCAGCTGGCATTGTAGGCTTTAGTAGCAAGCTCAGAAACAAATAATACCAGTGGAAAGAAGGATAAACGGCTGCAGCTAAATGCCAATACAAATAGCCATGTGTTACAATTAAAGTTGATTTGGCCTTTCAAATAGAAGTCTGATTTTCTGGGATTAATCTCGACCTTTTCAAGTTGCATCAGGCTGAAATAAGTTGTCAGAACAGATGTGAATTTTGTTTGCAGAGAACAATTGTAATCCAGTAACCCTTAGAACATCAGCATTTTCCAGAGCGCTGGCCAGCTGAGCAGTGAGGATGCGGACAGCAGACACGGAGCACACACAGCAGGCGGAATCACAGAACTCAGAGCCATGTCCAGAGGCTGCATGTTTAGTTCAAATGCAAACCAAAATACTTTTCCTTTTAACTCTGAATTTACTCAACAGCAGGGTGTATACACAACTGCCTGGGGAAAAAAATAGATTAAGGATGGATATCTTTGTTATCTTTATAAACCATGTTCTTTAGCTAAATCAAACATACAAGTAGGTGATCTTCCATGCACCACTTTTTCACAGAAGGCTGAGCACACATTTTGTAATGCAGAAATCTCTGAAGGCTCCAAGAATCACACATTTCAGACGCTGCTCTAAACTGCATTCTAAGAAGTTCTGCCTTGCAATCTGCCTGGCTCCAGTGC